CAAGAATCTGGAAGTGGTGGTTGAAACAGTGGGATAAATGCACAGGGGGGGAGTTCACCTGGACAAAGGAGTGATGCTTGTGGTGTACACGAAGGGCAGAACATCACAGATGGCTTGAGGTATATGGCACAGAGTGCGGGAGCGGTGGGCCTCGCGATGCTTTGCCAAGAAAGAAATGAGAGATTGTTCAAGAGCAAAGAGTGGACAAACAGACAGATTCGATCAACTTTCAAACAGATGCTGAGGCGAACAATTCTGGTAGACTGGAGGAGGAAAGTGGGAAATACAGAGGAGCGAGAATCAGGGTTGAGCTGGTTCAAGAAAACGTGGTGCAAAAGGGGACAGTTTAGGAAAATAGAAGACAGGAAACTAGTCCTGGACCAATGGTTATTCTCAAACTAAGTAAGGTTGGGTTAGTAGGCTTGATTAGAAGGAGTGACCTGAACACTCGGTCAAGGATTTTTATGGGAAGACCGCAGGAGACAGGCGGAGGGAAGGTAAGAGGAGGGAGTGTTAATAGGAGTTCCGTTGCCTTAGACGGTTTTTAGGTGTCAGAATCGATAAGAGTAGATGACAAGTAGAGGGTAGCTCTTTGACTCATGAATTTTAGCATTTTTGGCTTTGAAAGCCCTGGAGGCAAAGTTATTTCTTTTCCTTTTTTGCTCAGAGAGGAATTCCAAGGCAGAGGTCCCAGGGACCAGAAATGCTCTTCATCTAAAATATTCCCTCTGGAGTCTAAGCAAAGCTGGCTGATGCTGTCAGTACTGTTCGTTGGTTCACCCGGGTTGAATTGTGAGGTCCCCAGCCTCATTGATTTTGTTGAGCTATAATAAAGCCCTTTGGGCCTTTTTTTTCAAAAAAAAAAAAAAAAAAAAAAAAAGAGGTGGACCCCACAGGTTTGCGGCAAACTCTTGGAAAAGCTGACCGGTTTCCAGAAAATGGCCGTCGAGCAATACGGCCATTTTCCAGATGAGACCCCATCGCATCCGTTCGTTGTGGCGCCACCGAAGGGATCGCTTTCCGTTTCAGGAATGTTTCTTTTTTTGTGAATGCAACACTCCGTTCATTGGACCCTGGTTTTGACCCGGACATGCGCGGGCGACAAGCCCTGAGCGGCGTAGAGCGACGACGGTGTCGCCCGATACCGGGTCTAGTGGGCCAGTCCGTACCAACAGACATTCAAATTTTTTTTAAACTTCGAATTCTGAATTCGGCACCTCACCTGTTTCGTCCCGCGGTACGGCGTCCTCTCCTGTGTCACCCCTGTGTCCATCTTCACGCGCTCTGTGTGCGTATCGAAGCGACTACTTCTGTCGCCGACGTCATTCCTCTCCATGGATCCCCCTTCTGTCCGCCATATTGACGATGAGTGGGAAGATTGCTTGGTTGTGATGACGCTCCTCGTCGTGCGATTCCTGCAAGAGAGGAATGTTGCCGCCATGGCGGTGTTGCAAGCAGCAGCCGTATTGCCTATGAGCATACCAGGTGTGGGTGACAACATCGCCCTCATAGCAGGAGGTTTGTTGCACAACCATATCATGCAGTGCGCGACATTGAAGACGATCCATCAAACGACGGAAAGGAGACGTGCGTTATGGGTGTTGGAACGGAACAAAGGTGTGTGGTCGGATCTGCAAAAGGAGGGGGAAAAGTATGACAAAGTTTTCAGGAGGTTCTGTCGTCTTCCACGTGCATTGTTCCTCGAAATCCGTGATCGCATAAGACCACACATCCAAAGGCAGGACACGAACTGGAGGCGTCTATTGCCAGCAGCGTTGAAGTTTGCGTGTGCACTGGGTCGGTGGGCTATGGGGACGTACTACAGGCAGTACGGGCACTCACTTGGTGTGGGTTTGGCGAGTGCGTAGCGAAGCAATATCGACGTCGCGGAGACACTCATCAAGGAATACGGTCACGTCATCGGCTGGCCTGAAGGTAGACGGTTGCAAAAAACCCTTGACGATTTCGAGCGGAAAGGGTTTTCGGGGTGTGTGGGTGCCATCGACTGCACCCATCTCTACATAGAGAAGCCGAAGGGTGCGAGAGCTAAGTGTTTCTACGAAAGGACAGGTGGCACTCCATCGTCGCTCAGGTGTGTTGTGATCACGAGGGTAGAATCTTGAACGTGTTTGTGGGCTGTCCTAGCGATGTGCACGACGCTCGTGTGTTGCGCCTGTCGCCCATGTACAACGACGTGCAAGAAGGGAGGGGGGTGTTCCACAGCGGGGCGTGTGCATTGCGCAACGGCGGCGAGGTCGGGTACTACCTTTTGGGTGATGCGGGGTATCCTCTAGTGCCATGGATCATGACCCCGGTTGGAGGTGGCGAGAGGACGACACTCCAACGGCAGTATGATGAGTTTCACACTGCAGCGCGCTCTATCATCGAGCGATGCTTCGAGAGATTGAAAGGAGTGTGGCGCAACTTCATCAGGCGTCACGTCTGCAACCTGAAGATCCAACCAAATAATTCATGGCCGTTTGTATCCTGCATAACCTCATGATCGATGCACATGTCGTCATCGATCCTATGTTGCTGACTACGGAATCTGATAGTGAGGAGGAGAACGATGGTGTCGGGCGAGCTAGGCGGCGGCGGAGACAACGACGCATCAACGAGACGAGGTGCACAACCGCGAGGAAGGATGGGGGTGAGATGATACGTCGCTCGCTCACACCACCGATGCCAACAAAGCAATCAGGGATAGATTGATTGCTCATGTACACCACCATGCAAGAGTGCATGGTGCTCCGTCAGCCAATCCGTGGAGTGTTTGATGTCGTGACTTGCTTTGTAGATCAACGACGTTTCGATAAAGGGTTTATGATATAGTATCAGACTCTCTCTCTCTCTCTCTCACACACACACACACACAATCTATTTGTCTATCTATCTATCCCCATATATATATATGTGAAACTCCGACGAAACAGTTTGTCACAGCCCCTCGTTTGTTATCTTCTTCTCCCTCTCTGCCTAGGGTTTACTGGGCAGTTCTGTTTGACGATATATATATATATATATATATATATATATATACATTCAGCTGTGCGTAAGGTTGTATCATTTTCATGGATGAGTACACGTGCTCTTGCAATTGAATACCCCAACCCTCAAACACCATTCCACACACACACACACACACACACACACACGTGTGTGTGTGTGTGTGTGTGTGTGTGTGCGTGCGTGCGTGCGTGTGTGTGGGTGGGTGTGTGTTATACGACGTCCCACCCGATTTTCCATAACTGAGACTGTTTACAAAGACAAAAGTTGCGATCGCAACAGTCATATACTTCTTTGCTCAATTGATTGTCAACTTTGATCTCGTAGCAGAACAACCATGCCGGATCATGTACAACAACAATAAAAGTGCAAACTTCATGACAAGAACAGTGCGCAACCGTCATATGGAACGTGTTTTTAACCCCAGATTGCAATACAAGCGTATGAACCTTTTGTTTTGACACCGGATTGCCATACAACCATTACCATCCGAATACACACATATAACAAAAACGTGATCGGAACCTCGTTTGCAACCATATAAAAGAAACAGAAAAGGAAAAAAATAAATACATAAAAAAAAAAATTGCAAAAAAGAAAACAAGTGCACATGATTGACACATGATTGACACAAAAAAGAAGAACGTATTGCAAACAAGTGCACATGATTGACACAAAAGGATGTTGCCTAAGAATCACATCACGACGAAGAGAGAGTGGAAGTTGTAGAGCGCAAAGTGCAAAAAAACAAATGACACTGATGGCATCCTCTGAAAACTCCTATTTAACAACGAAACCTTTAGTTCGCACTAGTACTTGATTGCGTGATCAGACCGCATACAACATGGACATACGTACTAACATTACGATCACGCAGTCTATCGTCTATCGTGTCCATCGTCCATCGATTTGTCATGCATCCACGCAACTACCATGGCAACCAACCTTCGCTATGAGGGGGGAAACCCCAAACACGGTACCAAACCATAATTGACAGGCAAAGGCAAATCCACAAAGAAGTGGGAAAACGACCATGACTCAAACCCTCCACGAATCGTTCCGCAGCAAAGGATGAAAAACGCAAAGACATAGCGAAACCAAAGCGAAGCTTGCGATTAGCCCACTGCGAATGCATTTCTCGGCCTGAGCGCTATGCTTCCCCACAGACGGGCGACACAAACAACCACGTACGAATCGCCGCAACACCATTGTGTACATCTCTCTCTCTCTTTCTCTCTCTCTTTCTCTCTCTCTCTCTCTCTCTCTCTCTCTCTCTCTCTCTCCGATATTCGACCAATCAGAACTTACGAACGCGTAGATCATCCTGTGGATCCCATGACTGCACTGCTCCATGCAGGCAGCCCCTCCCCTCCAATGGCGGATCGAGGAACGTCTTATGGAAAGGCGTGTCTTCATAAGCGAAGGATTGGTCGTTCGCTATGTAGGAGACTAGATAGCGGATTGTGTCTCCCACGACATCCACCTGAGCCCCTTCCCACTTGTCTGGGATGATGGGATGCTTTTTCGTTGCATATAGCAACACCTCGTACAGGCCACCTTCCGCGTTGAAACCGAAACCCGCGACGATCTTCATAGTCGCGATGCCACTGACGTCAACCTCGTAGAATCGAACGCTTTCTCCTTTAATGGCGTCGCAAAAAGGCATGTCACGACCATGCCTTCGACCTCGCCAGGATCGCCGCTCCACGATCTGCACTCTCCGACCGCACACAACTTCCGACACGACGGTAACGTCTGTCATCTCTCTCTCTCTCTCTCTCTCTCTCTCTCTCTCTCTCTCTCTCTCTCTTTCTTATCCGAAACGCAGATCTCTCACTCCACGAAAGCCCACCAAAGCCGACAACAACGCAACAACCTTCACCGAAGGAGCACGGACGAACTGTCTTGGTGAGAGGCGATGCAGTGATCGAGAGGTCCCACCCACCGATATAAATAGCACCGCGAACGTCCTTGTCCACCCACGACCTTTTTTCTTTTTGGTTGTTTTTTTATTATTTTTTTTGTTTTTTTCCTTCCGACCTACACAGAATGTGATCTGCCTCATCGGTATCCGACCGATCCATTGACAAGCGGGTGTCAACCCACGAACGACAAAAAAAAAAATTGAAATATCCAACCCACCCCACCCCATATTCCCCCCCCCCCCCCCCAATAAAGAAACCCCCTCCCATATCCGACATTCAAAGGAAACCATCATTTGAATTCCCCCCCTGTCGACTTCCCTAGCTTCGCGCGGCAAGAACCCTCACAAGTTGGCAAAGCACCGCATTCCCACCTACCATTGCATCGGCCACAACCTCGATCTTCCCTACCATCTCCCCTATCCGCCCACCCACAATCTCGGCTCCTTTCGTCGTAGCACTCGCCATTGTGCAAGCGGCCTGCTCCAATCCCTGACAGTACGCCTTTATATATTCCCGCATAGCAACGGAAAGAGATTGCGGTGAGTCATCATTCCCTCGCCTCTCTCTCGACCTTCCTCTCTTCGATTTTGTCCCGCTGTCCGACCCCTCCAACGCATCACGAGCAGTCTTTCCCCTTCCACCGCCGCCTGACGATGCACCTTCACCAGCCTCGCCCCTCATCGATGTCACATCGTCAGTCGGCGACTGCATGTTGTCGGAAGCCAACGTATGATCACATGTCACTGACGGTTTTCTCAGTGCCCACCCCATAGCATCCCAAAGCACCTTGTCAAACGCAGGGTGGACGCCCAGTTCACGGCGCTTCTCTGTCGTCATCTCCCAATAGCTCTCACCGCCCGATCTCCCGCATTTGTCATTGATCTCCTTTGCCTTCTCCATCAAAGACGCCCATTTCTTCCTGCAATCTTCACCATTGCGCCTGTACCCCTCCGCCCGCATCCTATTCGATATCCACTCCAATCGATCTTGCCGCCTCATGCACCTGTGAGGTCCTGAAGCAGAGGCACATAGTGCATCATCTTCGCCGTACACCCTTGCCAAAGCCACTTGCTCATCCGCGGACCACAACTGAGAGGACTTTCGAGGCGGCTTGTTTGCAGCCCTCCCAGCATCGCTCTCGCCGGCAGAAGCATCCGTTGTCGTCGATGGCTCCTCCCCCCACCTCGGAGCAGTGTTCGAAGGTGGCGGCGACGGCGGGCCATCTGGAAGGCTAATGGGCGGGAGCGGCAGAGACGACGCTTCCAACGCTGGCAAAGGTTCACCTCCCATGCCGGTAGACGGACGAGATCTGGACATGCGTTGTCCAGCGTCACACGGAACGCTATTCGCGGATGACTGCACAGTCGTAGAGGGAGGTGGTGATGGCATGGGCGGTCGGAGCGGTGAACGGAGAGGCGCCTATACGTGTTGCACGGCACCCTGTTGATGGATCCCATGCCCCCCCGCGATGCCATATCCGATGTTTGCGAAGGAGGAAACAGGGAGATTCGTCTGGCCATAGCTGCCCTGCATGTAGCCTTGCCCACCACCGGGGTTGTTCCTCCACTGAGGGAGGGGTGGGAGAGAGGAAGCGAACATTGGTTGCCATGCAACGGAGTTCTGATCATTGCGCACCGATGGCATTGCGTGCGAAGGCCGATCACCGCCAGACCTGCCATGATCGTCTTCCATAGAAGAATCTAGCAAAGATGAGAAGTCTTGTGCAGGCTGACGCGACCAGTGTTGTTGATTCATGGATCAAAGATGTCGCTTGCGGCAAAGGCAGGTGACGATCAGGAGTACGACAACACAAAGAAGGATCAAAATGAAAAAAAGCAAAATGAAAAATACCCCGACGATGACGAACCACGCCAGTGCTGCGTACGCAAAGTGAACATCCACATCGCCGGTTCTCTGTTCAACAACGACGACATTCCCGATAGGACACGGAAAAGTTCAGTCGCACACCTTATGGAAGCCGACGGATAGCGAGGCGTCCGCGTGAAGGACATCCACCCTTCGACCGTCGTTGGAGTCGCTGCAGTTTCGCCAAAACAATGGCGATGTTCGCCTGACGTCGGTGGGAAGCCCTCTGCTGTTTCCCCCGACAACACCATCAACTGCCAAACTGCGAATGAGGGGAAAGCGTGCTGTGACGGGTGTCACGGTAGAGCACCACACTCCACACAACAGCGAGGGAGCGAGTCGTCCCCAAATACCCGCCTTTGTGTTCGTCCCGACACGTGATAAGATACCCTGCGTCGGAAGACATGCGAGGAAGGAGGACATCGACAAAGGGCGACACAGGCGAACAACACTTCCCAGCGAGTGTGCCAGCCCGCACACCTTCCTCCCCTCACGCAAACCCATGGACCACCACCTGCTCATAACGTCGCTTACGAAAATGTCATACTTTTGAACTTCGAAATCGATCGGGCGAATGTTCCATGACCGTCCTACTCTTCGTGGCTGTTTATCCCCTTCCTAACGGACAACCATCACGACGTGCACCCTTCCCAGGTCGTTCGGGTGGTGCGGTGATGCGTCCGTGCCGTTCGTGCCCATTGAGACCTTTGGGACATTTTTGTGGGGTGCCTGGACGGACAGGTCCCGCGGTCGGGAACGTGCGACGGAATTCGAATTTTGGCTGTGTGGACCTGGTACGCGTGCACGACCAGCGGACATCGTCGGTTGTCCGCATGCCGTTTCCTTCCGTTTGCGCCGGAGTGCCTCCGCCCACGCTCGTCTTCCCGTTTGGCCATCGACGACGACGGCGCCGGTGATTTCCAGGGGGACCCTGGGCCGCGGGCCATGTAGAAACGACCCTCCCTCCTTTTCCAACCCGACCCGAACGAGCATGTGGGGTCTCCAAAACCTTTCCAAAACTCTTTTAATCCTTTGCTGCAAACCTGTGGGGTCCACCTCTAATTCTTCACCCGTGCTAATTCACCTGCGCTGGTGGCGGAGTCGGGTGCGAGGGGCCCGGGGCTGGGCGGCTGCGCTCAATTTGCGCTAATTTTCAGGCCGCTCCGATCCGGCGCCTGGCGCAGGACGACGCCCCCTTGGGTCGGTCTTGTGCCCTGCCTTGCCGTTCACCCCGCCATCGTCGACGGGAAACGGAGGAGACTACCTACTCTCTTCTCGAGGGTACCGACACGTCGGATTGTCTCCTACCAAGGCAGCCTGGATGAAGAAGTAGGAATAAGGTAAGGTAACAGAAAACAACATCTGCTCCACTATTTTTTGAAGGGTTCATCTAGTCAACATCCATCAAGATATTCAGTCAACAAGGCGGACGTCAACTTCCCATACAGTGTATAGATGCAGGCAGTCGTCTTTCACGATCGTTCAGGGAGCAGACTGCGGAGATGTCGAAATAAGTTTGATTTCAAGGAATTTCAAGGTAAGATCCTCAACCAGGACTAACTCGGGTTATTATCCGGAGAAGGAAGTACAAGCATATCCCTGTCATGGATTTGGAGGGTAGAGGTCGGCGGTCAAGAGTTGGTGGTTTCTGTAAAACCGTGGGAGGGATTCAGATCTCAGGAAGGGTAAGGAGGGCGTAATTGGAGGAGAGATTGGATCTAGGCTGGTTCCTCCTATTAGGAAGCGGGTGTCTCCGCCTGCAAGGTAATGAATGGGTGGATAGGCAGTCATTTGGCTCAATAGAGGAGAACCTCGTGCCAGGATTGAATCCCAAGATTCCCGAGGCAAGTACGAGAGATCGTAGGTTTCCATTCCGAGATCTTACTGCCTAATAGCACCCGCTCTTGCAAACCAAGGTAGAAAGGACGCCTCCAACTCCTGACCTTGTCCATCCCTAGCAAACCTCGGTAAGAAACTGCTACCGAGGTCTGGAAGTCATCTCCCCAATGTCTAAATTGAGGTTGCCAAGTGAATCCTTCCTCCGTCGTTCTGGGTAAAAATAGGGTTAGGTCTGGATAATTTGCGAAGCAGATTCTTCCTTGAGGCGTGGTTTAAGTCAGTCGATGGATATAAGGCCAATGGTAGAAGCGCTTGAGCGGGTAGCCTGCACTATTAGGTTTCGGCTTCCAGCTCCTACTGAAGGGGTCACACTCCCACACTGATCCACTCTCCAAACTGTGACTCTTGTTGATCAGGTTCCGGTCGCAGTCTCGGTAAAACCTCCTCTCTTGCTGTTAGTACTGCTCTAGGGTGGCTTTAGCCAGACTGTGAAAATGGAGGTGGAGGAAGTCCAAGGGGGAGAGTCAGGGGGAATTAATCCTCCTCTTCGACATCAACAGGGACAACAACAAATAAATTTTTGGGACAATGAAGAGAGGGCAAGGCAATCTATTGGGCAGTGCTATGACGAGGGGTTTTTCCAGCTAGCGGCTGATCTAGGGCAAGTGGTGATAGATGAGAGAGGGAAGAGGTTCAAAGTGAATGCGTTCATGAACGCCATCAAAGAGAGATGGTTAAAAGAGAGAATGGTGATTTTCATTTTTCAGGATGAGGCTCGGGACTTGTCAAGGGAAGATTTAGTAAGGCCTATGAGGACGGCTGGATGGCCCAACGACTGTTCAACCCGGAAGTGAGACGGGGGAGAATTAAATTTGAAAGTCCTAATGTGTTCTCTTATGTGGCGAAGGCAGTAAAAGTAGCGAACTGGCTGGTCCAGAAATGATCAGTAAAACTATCGCTAAGAGGGAAAGATTATGTGGCGTTGGTGAAGCCATGGATGACCAAATTGGAGCTTAAGGATTTGAGATTGAGAGAGGCAGAATCCGATTTTTGGATTGTGGCGCTGAGGGTCCCTCTGGATGCTATGTTGTATTTGCCTTCAGCGGTGGAAGGGCTGATAGGGGGAGTGAAGCACATGCATCCCCCAGAGGTGGACAGATCTAAACCCAAGTTAATGAATATTAAACTCGGCATGGACCCTCAGGCGTGGTTCCGGGTGGAAATTGAGTCCCCCAAGGGGGAGCTTTGGAGAGTAGAGGTTGCTACTCCATACTCCGATTGGTGCCGCAAGTGTAGGTGGTATTTCCACATTGAAGAGACCTGTCCCAGCGACCACGACGAACTTGGACGAATTTCAGGCTTCCCTAGCAACAACCCCACCAACAGTCACAGGCGGGAGAGCGAGAAGACAGTCATCAGGCCCAGCATGCAGGGTCCAGGCAGCAGGCGGCACAAGCACATCATGCACCTCCCCCGCTAGCCTTAGGGGGCCCGCAGATGGGGGGGGGGGCTTAGGTTGGGGGAGTACAACCACTATCAGTAGCATTGCATCTCCCTCCAGATCACCCTACACAGGCGCCTCAGGACCCAAGACAGCGAGCTACATGGCGCACAAGGGCTGCGAACGGGTTCCGGGTATTCTGAGGGCGGAACGTTCGGAATCATCAACAGGGAGTTCGGGCAGCCCACCGAGGGACAGAACAGTGAAATCAGATACTTTCAGTAAACGGGGCTACAGGGCTCATCAGGCGCAGGGCTGCTTACCTATCTAAAGAAAGATAGTCCCTCTAGTCTGCACAATGGGAGAAGAGGTAGCCTTTTTCCTAGGCTCAGCGGATGCAGAGGGGCGTCCTTATCTCCCATCGGTCCCTACGGAGAGAGCGCCCCTTCCAGGGGAGAATATTACCCGGACTAAATTTTTGTTTGGAGATTCTTTTCCCATCAGAATAGTCCCTCGATCGGTGATGGCTAACTGTACGGTCCCCTTCGATGATAAGGTAATTAAATTTTACTTTCCTTTTATAGATGGCCGGATAGACCGCTCCACAGTTGACGCTCTCACGCAAGCGAGGATAAAATGGTTCACTTTAGATGCGGTCAGGGAAAGAAACAACCACGAGCTGGAAGCAATTGCTTTGTCCCCAGAAGTTTCAGCTCTGGTGCTCTTGAAGCTAAATGAGAAGTTGCCAGAGACCAAGAACCTGCATTCCAGATTTCTGTTGGATGCCCTGGCTGAAGAGTGGAGGTCGGGCTCCCAATCTGGTCAGTCTAGAGAACCTCGGAGAAACAGCCCAATGATGCAGTCCCCGAACCACGCTGCAGTCAGATGGGGTGATGAAAAAATTGTTACCCGCATCCAATACTCAGCAGAAGAAGCAAGGTTGAATGGTTAAGCTGAAGGTAACTACTTGGAATGTTCGAGGGTTGGGCGACACCACGGCCAGAGAAAAGAAAAAAAGACTAAAATCGTGGCTGTTCAGAAATAAAGTGGACTGTATTTGTCTGCAGGAGACGAAACTGTCAGAAGAGAAACTGAAGGATATAAGTAATTGGTGGAAAGAGCCCCACGTTTGGTCCCCAGCGCAGGGCTCCAGGGGAGGAGTGAATATTTTGCTGCACATCAATCTTCAAGCAGACATTATCGATGCGGAGTCGGATCTGTGGGGCCGGTGGGCTTGGGTTCGGCTGCAGATGGGAGGTTCAAGGTGGACTCTTTTGACGGTGTATGCACC